GTTGAGGAATCCCATGTCCAAATTAAGGCCCTTATCTTTTGTGTCAAATAGAATTATCATTCTTAGTTCAAATGTTTTTCTTTCCTGGATGGATTTGAATTTTCCTTTCAGAACTGAAACATTGAGGTCTTCCATATTGTGGCCTGGTTGTGTGAAATGGTGTCCTACAGGTGTGCAGAGGTCATCTTCTTTATGTTCCTTGATGGTATGTCTGTGCAGATTCATCCTTGTTTGTAATGTCTGTCCTGTTTCACCAACATAAGATCCTTTGCTGCATTTTCTGCACTGGATAAGGTACACAACATGACTGGAGGTGCAGCTGTATGATCCGGAGATATTGAAGATCCCTTTTGAGTGTCTGACACTTTTTGATGGATTGATTTGGTTGCACAGCTTGCAGCGTTTCTTATTGCAGGGTTTGCTTCCATTATTTGTGACATCATAATCAGAATGAAGTTTCCTACTGATTAGTTTATTTCTGAGGTTGGGGGGTTGTCTGAAAGCCAGTATTGGGGGGTGTCTGAAGGCCAGTATTGGGGGGTTGTCTGAAGGCCAGTATTGGGGGTTGTCTGAAAGCCAGTATTGGGTGTTGCTGGAATATTTCTTTCAGAGTTCCATCCTCTGTTATGATGGGTTGTAAATCTTTGATTATTTTTCTTATCCCTTCTAGTGTTGGGTTGTATGTGGTTACTAGAGGTACACGGTTGTTTGTTTTTTTCTCTTTGTACTGAAGTAGATTTTCCCTTCGGGTTCTCAAGGCTGTGTTTATGCCGGTGTTGATAGTTTTGTCCTTGTAACCCTTCTTATGGAAGGTGTCTGCTAGTGTCCTGAGATGTTTATCTCTGTTTCTTGGGTCAGAACATAGTCGGTGACCGAAAGCTTGTCCTCAAAATTGTATGTTAGTGCAAATAAAAAAAGTATCACGAACAGTACTCAATTGTTTCTGTCGCAAATGCACTAATACGGCTACAATCACATGTTGGTAGAGTAAATCTTGCTGTAGTAATTCTCCTTCTCCTTTGGTAGAGTAACTCTTGGTGTAGTAATTATCCTCCTCTCCTCTTTCTCCTCATTCTCCTCTTCTCCTTCTCTCCTTTTCTCCTCCTTCTCTTCTCTTCTTCTTTTTCTTCTCTTCTTCTCTCTTCTTCTTCTTCTCCTTTTCTCCTTCTCCTCTTCTTCTCCTTCTCTTCTTCTCCTTCTCCTTCTCTTTTTCTCCTTCTCCTTCCCCTTCTCTTTTTCTCCTTCTCCTTCTTTTTTTTCTCCTTCTTCTCCTTCCTTCTCTTTTTCTCCTCCTTCTCCTTCTCTTCTCTTCTTCTTCTTCTTCTCTTCTTCTCTTCTTCTTCTCCTTCTCTTCTTCTTTTCTTCTCTTTCTCTTCTTTCTCTTCTTCTTCTTCTCTCTTCTCTTCTTCTTCTCCTTCTCTTCTTCTTCTCCTTCTCCTTCTCTCTTCTCTCTTCTTCTTTCTCTTCTTCTCCTTCTCTTCTTCTCCTTCTTCTTCTCCTTCTCTTCTTCTCTTCTCTTCTCCCTTCTTCTCCTTCTCCTTCTTCTCCTTCTCCTTCTCCTTCTCCTTCTTCTCCTTCTCCTTTTCTCTTTTTCTCCTTCTCTTTTCTCTTTTTTTTCTCCTTTTCTTTTTCTCCTTCTCTCTCTTCTCTCTTCTCCTCTCTTCTTCTCCTTCTCTTTTTCTCCTTCTCTTCTTCTTCTTCTTCTTCCTTCTTCCTCTTCTTCTTCTTCTCCTTCTTCCTCTTCCTCTTCTTCTTCTTCTCCTTCTTCTTTCCTCTTCCTCTTCTTCTCCTTCTTCTCTTCTTCTCCTCTCTTCTTCTCTTCCTCTTCTCTCCTTCCTCTCCTCTCCTCTTCTTCCTTCCTCCTTCTTCTCCTTCCTCCTTCTTCTTCTCTTCTTCTCCTTCCTCTTCCTCTTCTTCTCCTTCCTCTCTCTTCTCCTTCCTCTTCTTCTCCTTCTCCCCGTCTTCTTCTCCTTCTCCCTCTTCTTCTCCTTCTCCCTCTTCTTCTCCTTCTCCCTCTTCTTCTCCTTCCTCTTCTTCTCCTTCTCCCTCTCCTCCTTCCTCTCTTCTCCTTCTTCTCCTTCTTCTCCTTCTCTTCTTCTCTTCTCTTTCTCCTCCTCCTTATCCTTCTCTTCAACATCCACAGAAGGCTACAGAATATTATTATACAGGATTTATGGCGCCAACAGTTTGCTCAGCGCTGTACAATATAAGGGAGACAGTACAATTACAATACATTTCAGTACAGAAGGAATATGAGGGCCCTGCTTATGAAGCCTACAATCTAAAGGAAGGGATGTGCAGAGATGACACTATTGATAAGAGCAATGTCTCATCATTGGTGACTCTTATCAATAGTGTCATCTCCATAAACATTCTGTAGCCTTCTGTGGACACCAGATAGCCTGCACCCCTCCTTCATCAAGAACTCAATGACGTCACATTGCCTCTGCTTAGAATCCATTATTTTTCTGCAACGAAAAAGATGATTTACTAAAGAGTAAGATTTTGTACCCAGCTCCATATATTACAAAATCATGTTCTATTAATGATATCTGTACATTGAAAACCTGTTGGCTCATTTCTTATATCCCCACCAACTCTGACAATATACGAGGGCTGTACCAAAAGTAATGCAGAAGTGGGCATAACGTTTTCAATAACCTACATAGGCCATTCAAATTTCATATACTGTGTTTCCCCCAAAATAAGACACTGTCTTATATTTTTTTGGCTCAAAAAAAACACTAGGTCTTATTTTCGGGGTAGGTCATATTTTTTTAATATCCAGGTGTGGACAGGGGGTGCAGAGGTGAGCTGCAGGCAGTTGTGAATGAGGGTTACTATGGAGAGGGCCGGTTGATGACAGTTGTGAGCTGCAGTCAGGTGTTGCAGGGGAGACTTGACAGGTGAGTTTCAGACAGGGTGCAGATATGAGCCACAGACAGGGTGAAGGGTGAGTTGCAGATAAGGGATGCAGAGGTGAGCTGTGCCAGGGGTGCAGAGCTGAGCTGTGGCAAGGGGGGTGCAGAGCTGAGCTGTGGCAAGGGGGTGCAGAGCTGAGCTGTGGCAAGGGGGTGCAGAGCTGAGCTGTGGCAAGGGGGTGCAGAGCTGAGCTGTGGCAAGGGGGTGCAGAGCTGAGCTGTGGGGGGGTGCAGAGCTGAGCTGTGGCAAGGGGGTGCAGAGCTGAGCTGTGGCCAGGGGGTGCAGAGCTGGCTGTGGCAGAGCTGAGTGGGGTGGGGTGCAGAGCTGAGCTGTGGCTGGGGGGTGCAAAGGTGGGTTGCAACTCAGCTCACCTCTGCACCCCCCCCAGCCGCAGCTCACCTATGCACCCTGTCTGCAACTCACCTGACTCAATTTACCTCTGCAACACCTGACTGCAGCTCACCTTTGCACATTCCCCCCTCCCCCTCCACTGCCCTCATATGGTTAGCTAGCTTTGCAAAACACAGCTGTCAGCCGGCCCCCCTCTATAGTAACTCCAGTTTCGGGTCCTATCTTCCCACACAGTGCACCAAGCGCACTTACTCACCGCTCCGCCTCTTCCCCACTGACCTGTGATCACCCCTGGGGCATCGGCTTCCATGCATTAGGCTGCAGGAGGAGATACCCCACCCCTAAATACACTGCATACTGTACCCATAATTATCTGTTCCTTCCCTGTCCTACAGTGAGTACAGAGGTAGGGAGGTTCTGTGGGAGCGGATTGTGAGTACAGAGGTAGGGGGGTTCTGTGGGAGCGGATGGTGAGTACAGAGGTAGGGGGTTCTGTGGGAGCGGATTGTGAGTACAGAGGTAGGGGGGTTCTGTGGGAGCGGATGGTGAGTACAGAGGGGGGGGTTCTGTGGGAGCGGATGGAGAGTACAGAGGTAGGGGGGTTATGTGGGAGCGGATGGCGAGTACAGAGGTAGGGAGGTTCTGTGGGAGCGGATGGTGAGTACAGAGGTAGGGGGGTTCTGTGGGAGCGGATGGCGAGTACAGAGGTAGGGAGGTTCTGTGGGAGCGGATGGTGAGTACAGAGGTAGGGGGGTTCTATGGGAGCGGATGGTGAGTACAGAGGTAGGGGGGTTCTGTGGGAGCGGATGGCGAGTACAGAGGTAGGGGGGTTCTGTGGGAGCGGATGGTGAGTACAGAGGTAGGGAGGTTCTGTGGGAGCGGATGGCGAGTACAGAGGTAGGGGGGTTCTGTGGTAGCGGATGGCAAGTACAGAGGTAGGGGGGTTCTGTGGGAGCGGATGGCGAGTACAGAGGTAGGGGGGGTCTGTGGGAGCGGATGGCGAGTACAGAGGTAGGGGGGTTCTGTGGGAGCGGATGGCAAGTACAGAGGTAGGGAGGTTCTGTGGGAGTGGATGGCGAGTACAGAGGTAGGGAGGTTCTGTGGGAGCGGATGGCGAGTACAGAGGTAGGGAGGTTCTGTGGGAGCGGATGGCGAGTACAGAGGTAGGGAGGTTCTGTGGGAGCGGATGGCGAGTACAGAGGTAGGGAGTTCTGTGGGAACGGATGGCGAGTACAGAGGTAGGGAGGTTCTGTGGGAGCGGACGGCGAGTACAGAGGTAGGGGGGTTCTGTGGGAGCGGATGGTGAGTACAGAGGTAGGAAGGTTCTGTGGGAGCGGACGGTGAGTACAGAGGTAGGGAGGTTCTGTGGGAGCGGACGGTGAGTACAGAGGTAGGGGGGTTCTGTGGGAGCGGATGGTGCTGTCACTTCAGCCGTACTTCTGTGTTTATAAGAGACAGTAGATATGGGTGTGCGCAAGGCCAGTGCCGGAGGTGGCGGAATGGCATTCCGCCATGTTCCGGCTGCAAAAAAGCCATGATCACAACTAGGTCTTATTTTCGGGGTGGTCTTATTTTATGGGAAACAGGGTACTGGTAGAGTAACTCACTCTATAGTATCTCTTCTTCTTTGCAAGTAAATAATGGGTTCTAAGCAGATTCAATGTGTTGTAATTGAGTTCTTGCCGAAGGAGAGGTCCAGGCTGTCTGATATCCACAGAAGGCTACACAGTGTTTATGGAGATAACGCCATTGACAAGAGCAATGACTTCTCATTGGTGACTCTTGTCAAGAACAGGGGCGGACTGACCATTTGGGAACTCGGGCACTGCCTGAGGGCCCGGGGTCAGTAGGGGGCCCCATGAGAAGCCCCTGGTACATTTTTTCATAGGCTTTTTTGAGTTTGGGCAAGGACACAGGGGCCCCATGATCCCCTATTGCCCGGGGGCCCCATAAGTTGTCAGTCTGCCCCTGGTCAAGAGTGTCATCTCTGTAAACATTCAGTATCTTTCTGTGAATGTCAGACAGCCTGCACCCTTCCTCCATCGAGAACTCAATGATGGGGAATCCATTATTTACGTGCAATGAAAAAAAAAGATTTACTATAGAGGAAGATTTGTACCCAGCTCAAAATATTACACAAATGTATTCAATTAATGATATTTTTACATTGAAAACCTGTTGGCTTATTTTTTTTATATCCCCGACAACTCTGACAATATATGAGCGCTGTACTAAAAGTCATGCAAAAGTGGGCATAACGTTTAAATTTCACATGCTGATAGAGTAACTTCCTTAATAGTAACTCTTCTTCTTTTTCATTGCAGGTAAATAATGGCTTCCAAACAGAAGCAATGTGCAGTCATTGAGTTCTCAAGGAAGGAAGGGTGCAGGTTGTCCGTCATCCACAGAAGGCTACTGAATGTTTACAGAGATGACACCATCAACAAGAGTGATGTCTTTTCATTGGATACTTGTCAATAGTGTCACCTCTCTAAACATTCAATAGCCTTCTGTGGATGTTGGACAACCTGCACCCTTGCTTCATTGAGAACTCTAGATGGCATGTTGCTTCTGCTTGGAATCCATTATTTACCTGTAAGGAGGAAGAATTACCATAGAGGAAGAGTTACTCTACCAACATGTGAAATTGCCGAATTGCCAAAAATTGGGCCGTCTGCCTTTACATGCAAATTAACTTTAATGGCCTCCCAGTTTTAGTCTGTAGGGTTCAATATTAAGTCGGCCCCACCCTTTGCAGCTATAACAGCTTCAACTCTTCTGGGAAGGCCGTCCAAAAGGTTTAGGAGGGTGTCTATCGGAAGGTTGGACCATTCTTCCAGAAGCACATTTGTGAGGTCAGGCACTGATGTCGGGGGAGGAGGCCTGGCTTGAAGTCTCCACTCTAATTCAACCCAAAGGTGTTCTATGGGGTTGAGGTCAGGACTCTGTGCATGCCAGTTGAGTTCCTCCACCCCAAATTAGCTCATCCATGTCTATGGACCTTGCTTTGTGCACTGGTGTGCAGTCATGTTGGAACAGGAAGGGGCCATCCCCAAACTCTTCCCACAAAGTTGGGAGCATGGAATTGTCCAAAATGTCTTGGTATGCTGATGCCTTAAGAGTTCCATTCACTGGAACTAGGGAGCCAAGCCCAACCCCTGAAAAACATCCTGCACCATGATCCCCCCTCCACCAAACTTTACACTTGGCACCATGCACTCAGGCAAGTATAGTCATCCTGGCAACCTCCAAACCCAGACCTGTCCATTGGATTGCCAGACAGAGAAGCATAATTGGTCCAGAGAAGACGTCTCCATTGCTCTAGAGTCCAGTAGCGGCGTGCTTTGCACCACTGCACTCAATGCTTTGCATTGCACTTGGTGATGTAAGGCTTGGATGCAGCTGCTCGGCCATGGGAACCCATTCCATGAAGCTCTCTCCGCACTGTTGTTGGGCTCATCTGAAGGCCACACCAAGTTTGGAGGTCTTTATCTATTGACTCTGCAGATAGTTGGCGACTTCTGCGCACTGTGCGCTTCAGCATGCGCTTACCCCGCCCTGTCATGTGACGTGGCCTACCACTTGGTGGCTGAGTGGCTGTTGTTCCCAGTTGCTTCAATCAGGGATTGGAACACCTGAATCCAAATGATTTGGAGGGCCAGCCCAATACCTTTTGGTGTGTGTGTGTGTGTGTGTGTGTGTGTGTGTGTGTGTGTGGTGCGTGCGCGCGCGTTTTGCGTGCGTGCGTGCGTGCGTGCGTGTGCGCGCGTGTTAGTGTTAGTGTTAGTGTTATTCCACGGTCTAAATCAAGGTTATAACCCAAGAATCTCAACTATACAGGTTGAGGGGCTCCAGGCAGTTTTGCTTAATGCAGAGGAAACTGGTTTGTCAGTTTCCTCGTCAGTTTGTAAAGCCCGTTTTGGGGCCTGGAGATTTCAAAGTGATTTGGGAGGGCTGAAACCTCCAATCCTGGGTCCATGTTTCGTGATCATCCAGCATACTGATTACACAGGTGTGTGTAGGCCTTTTTATAGAGGCCCAACCATGGTTCTGGGCTCCACCCCAGCAGACAGGAGGTTGTTGCCCTGGAGTCAGGAGGGCTCCTCCTAGGAGAGGGGAGCCAGAGCAGCAAGGGGCTAACTGTGTGCAATACAGCCATTTACGAAGGAGTCTGCAGGAGACAGATGTGAGCCTGAAGTGGAAGGCCAGAGCGGCAGAAATCTGTGTACAAGCCAGGAGGCTAAACATCTGTGTTTTTGAAGAGTGAAATTCTGAAAACCCCTGTGAGGGAAATTTACGGAACTTTATTTTAAATACATAATTTTATATATATATATGTGTATATGTGTATGTATTGTGACAGTGTGGCGATCTGTCACCCCATTCTCAACAGGAGGGTTGAGGGTATGGGTAATATTATATGGACAAAGTTGCTTGCTTTTCACTTTCCACAGCCAGAGAGATCAATTTGTGGTCTTGCATGTGTGCAATACAGAGTATATACGACTGCTGCGGTTCTCCTCCCAAAGCTGCTAGAGACTAGCTGTAAGGCTAGTGGCCAGCGGTGTGCAAGAGCCGTGTCTTGAAGAAGTCTGCAGGAGACAGATCAAGCTGAGTACAAGCCAGGAGGCTAATTGTTGTTTGTGGTGATGGTTTGGTATACAGCGCGGAACTTTTATGTTACATTCTTTAAATAAAGAGTGGGCTAAAAAAGGCCTTAAAAAGTAGCTGTGTGCGTTAAAAGCTCTACCACTTGAGGGTTCCCCCAATATTGTAGGAACTTTATTTTCTGCGGTTCTCTTAATTTCCATATCTGTCATTTTCTCTTATATATTTAGTTTCATTCACTTCTAGTAACAAAGTTTATATTTGCAGATCTCACAAAGTGAGGAGGAAACCCAACAGACTCTCATGGGGAACAGCACCAGCAGATTCAAAATATATGCATCTTTAGTCAATGATATAGCTATATAGTACACTCTGCGGTTCCAGAGGAGCTTACACTCTCCCCCCTTCAGCATCTCAGCTGATAAGTCCCTCAGTCACATTCCAGCTTGTACCGAAAGCTTATGAGTTTCATTTCTCTGTATTATCATGTCATTCTTTCTGGGTCCCACAGTCTAGTAGCTCTGACAATAGTGCTGTACAGAGAACACTGAGCCAGTCACATCTCACAAAGCTGACACTGGAGTCCCATCAGTCTGTACCAGAGGAGCTTTAACTCTAATATCCCCTCCCCCACAGGTCACATCAGTCTCTGTACACCAGTCACAAACATCAGTCTCTGTACCAGAGGAGCTTACACTTAATGTCCCATCCCCCATCATTTCAGTCTCTGTACCAGAGGAGCATTGTCTTATCTAATGTCCCCTCCCCCACAGTCACATCAGTCTCTGTACAGAGGATACCTCTTAATTGTTCCCCTCCCCCAGTCACATCAGCTGTACCAGAGGAGCTTACGCTCTAATGTCCCCTCCCCCACAGTCCCCCACAGAGGAGCTTACACATATCCCCTCCTCCACAGTCTCAGTCTCTGCACCAGAGGAGCTTACACTCTAATGTCCCCTCCCCCACAGTCACATCAGTCTCTGTACCAGAGGAGCTTACGCTCTAATGTCCCCTCCCCCACAGTCACATCAGTCTCTGTACACTTACACTCTAATATCCCCTCCCCCACAGTCACATCATTGACACTCTAATGTCCCCTCCCCCATAGTCACACACTATTATTATTGTACTGTATATTTGTATAGCTCTGACATGATCCAGAGTGTTGCACAGAGAACACTGAGCCTCCAATATTCGTCTACCTGGTGAAGTAACTACCTGCGTTACGTTCTGCTCGTTGTTTGTCTCGTCCTTCCCTTATTGCTGTACCTGATTAGTCCCTCCTTAGCATATCATACAGTATAATGAGGAACCTGCTATGTACAATACAAAGTCCTGTCCACCTCCCAGTTTCCAGTTATCTTCTCGTACTTTATGGCTCTTCTCTGAACATTCCCAACTTTCTATATACTTCAGACTGGATATACTGTCTTCTCTATTTAGGGATAATATTTGTTTTATTTCTCCCAGGACTGCCATGCCTCAGGAAGGTGCTGCTAATTTTTACAAGTTAGAAGAAGAGATTACATGTTCCATTTGTCTCCATGAGCTCTTTGATCCGGTCTCCATCACTTGTGGTCATACCTTCTGTAGAGGCTGTATAACCAAATATTGGGACGCCCCGGGGCTTCAAAGTTACCGCTGCCCAGAATGCAGGAAAATCTGCCCCAAAGACCAGCTCATACCTAGTTACAGGCTGAAGAACATGGTGACCAAGGTCCAACTGGCTGTCAAGGAAGAGCAGAGAGCAGACAGGTGAGAGAGTGGAACATTCTACTATATAGGGTGTGGGTATAGCAGAGAGGAAATGTTCCAATGCTGCCATCTTTATCCTTGCTTGACTGTTGAGTAGTATATATATTCCAAACCCTATAACAACTGTAACCTTACCCTCGCAGAGAATCAAATTTAATTGGATGAAGGAAAAATAGGGCTTTATTACCAAACATAGATGTAGCGCCCTCTAGTGTGGATAGTTATTTAGTGTAGATGGAGGCTTGCTAAAAGCCTGGGTGTGAGTCAGAGAATTACTTCAGGGCAGGCTGGAGGGCTCTACAGGTCAGTCCTCTGGTGCCTCCCCCTACTATAAATTTCATCTGTAGCAGCAGAAAAAGAATTCTCATTTGCAAAAGGGTGAATCTATATGGCAAATGTGTTTTTGGTAACATACCCTTCTGACCATTGCTTTCCTGGGGTGCAAAAAATGAATGAAGATCCTAGTTCCCTAAAGACACATTAAAAATAGATAGCAGCCGCCATCAGATGGCACCAGGAGATGTGTCCAAAATGGATATCATCGCAATGGAGCGCACGCCGTCCATTGACCGGACGTATAGCGTGGGCTTGCGTTCCAGCCACCATGAGTAAGCATCACTTCTGATAATCCAGAGGATGGAACTGGAAACACGTTACCACTTGTGTGTTTCGGCTAAGAGTTCCAGCTGCTCGCAGGACGCATTATGCCTATTTTAGCTGGTGATGGTAAATATTAAGAGGTGCCTGACGGAGAAAAGCAATTAACCAGGGAAAGAGGTAGTACATACTGTCCACCGCCCAGTCTTGCCGCATGGCGCCCTGGCCTGAACCTCACAAAAGGGAGCTAGGAAATCTTAGACCAAGTAGATAAATATAATAAAATTAAATAAAAAATTAGATTTTGAATTAGGTTATGTGTATGTATGTGTGTGTGTATATATGTATGTATATATGTGTCTGTATATATGTATGTATATATATGTGTGTGTGTGTGTGTGTGTGTATGTATATATGTATATATATATATAAAAAAAATTTTTATTGTGTGTGTGTGTAAATACATGTACGTATAAATAAATTAACATTCCTGTATTGTCTTAGCGATCCAGATGGTATTACATGTCAGAAAATGTATTTCATATTTGTATTGATTAAAATGATACTAACTTAGAATATTGACATGAATTGATATATGTATTAAGGGGAATAGGTACAATGAATGAATATGTACATGTAGTTTATACAATCATGCAAAGAAAAAACTGTGTGCATAAATAGATAAAAAATATTAAAAGAATGATTTGGCATAATTGCATGTATATAAATATGAGCGTACATGCACACACATATAGTGCATTTCCCGATGGATACTATGTCCCAATAGAGTTGCGTCAATAAATAACCAGTTGCTCACGCCCTATAGCAGAAATACTGCTACAGAGCGGTAGGGCTGCGCAATGCCATGTATATAAATATACGTGATTTGCATTTCCGGGTGGAGGGGGTGCGTGCCATTGCCATCGGCGGCTACAGATGTCCATCACTGGGTCCAGGCCAGAGATTCTCCGCCGGCACCCAGTAATGGAACACTGACAGGGGAGAGGTCTGTGTGTAAACCACACAGGTCTCTCTCCTGCCAGCAATAACATGCTGCGTTGTATTACTCTGCACAGCATGTCTCCCTAGTAAAACACACACAGCACACAGGTAACCCTTTGATGGCCCCAGATGTTAACCCCTTCCTGCCCAGTGCCATTAGTACAGTCAGTGCTTTTTATTAGCACTGATCACTGTATTAGTGTCATTGGGATGTCAGTGGCAATTAGTTGTCCCCCAGCGTCAGAATGCTCACTATAAGTCTCAGATTGCTGCCATTACTGGTATAAAAAAAAAAAAAATCCCAGTATCTATACCGCCATTTGTAGACTCTATAACTTTCACGTAAATCAATTAATTTACAGGTATTTGGATTGTTTTAGCAATGACATGGAGCAGAATATTTTGTTTTATAGCAAAAAGTCAAAAATATTGCTCTTTTTCAAAATTGTCAGTATTTTTTTTTTGTTTGTTTATAGTGCGAAAAATAAAAATGCACATATGATCAAATACCACCAAAAGAAATCTTTGTTTGTGGGAAAAAAAGAACATTCATTTCATTTGGGTGCAGCATTCTATGACCACGCAATTGTCAGTTAAATTAATGCAGCGCCATATCGCAAAAAATGGCCATGTCATGAAGGGGGGGGGGGGGTAAATCCTCTGGAGGGCAAGTGCTTAATTAAGCCTATAAAACTTGCATTAGCATTAGGCTGGAGGGCTCTACAGGTCAGTCCTTTGGTGCCTCTCACTACTCTAGAAGCTTGGAGAAGTGTCACTGTCAGGAAGACATCATAGAGCAATAATGTACAGCTGATGCTGGAGTGAGTGCTTGTGGACAGGAAGTGGTTGAACAGGACTGGGAATAAAAGGTAAAAAATGGTAAATACGGTATTTTATAGAAAAAATTAAAAAAGTTTGGCACACAGTGCTTTTAGCAAACTATATATCATCCAGTTAGGATTAGTTCTACTTTAAGACTTAAGATAAGATGCCTCACTGTGACTCCTGGGAGGATCTCATCTCACCATCTGAGTAGTCCCAATGCTCAAATAGGAAAGAACCGGTTCCCATATTACCAGTGACTTTTTTATCTTCATAGATTCCACCTTCAGCCCTTCAACTGGTGTACACAGATCATGATGGAAGATTGCAGCTGGATGAGTCGGTGCTACAGAGATGCTTCTTGGATGCGGAGGTGTCGGAATACCCCCCGTGCCTTATATGTGTGATTGGGGAGAAACGGAGAGGAAAATCCACCCTACTGAATTATATCATGAGAGCCCTTCACTGCCTGGTGAGTAAACCCATCCATATCATATCCTTGAGAGCTCTTCACTGCCTGGTGGGTAAACCCATCCATATATCCTGAGAGCCCTTCACTGCTTGGTGGGTAAAGGCATTCATAACATATCTTGAAATCCCATTCTTGCCCAGTTGGTAAAATCCGTCCATATCATATCCTGAGAATCCTACTGCCTGGTGAGTAAAACCATCCATATTGTATCCTGAGAGTTTCCACCCCACCATCCTCCCATCTCCCTGTCTGATGAGTAAACCTGTCCATATCATATCTGGTGCACAATGACCCCATATCATATCCTGAGAGCCCTTCACTGCCTGGTGAGTAAACCCGTCCATATCATATCCTTGGAGCCCTTCACTGCCTGGTGAGTAAACCCGTCCATATCATATCCTGAGAGCCATTCACTGCCTGGTGGGTAAACCCATCCATATCATATCCTGAGAGCCCTTCACTGCCTGGTGAGTACAACCGTCCATATCATATCCTGAGAGCCCTTCACTGCCTGGTGGGTAAACCCATCCATATCATACCCTGAGAGCCCTTCACTGCCTGGTGAGTACAGCCGTCCATATCATATCCTGAGAGCCCTTCACTGCCTGGTGAGTACAGCCATCCATATCATATCCTGAGAGCCCTTCACTGCCTGGTGAGTACAACCATCCATATCATATCCTGAGAGCCCTTCACTGCCTGGTGAGTACAGCCATCCATATCATATCCTGAGAGCCCTTCACTGCCTGGTGAGTAAACCCGTCCATATCATATCCTGAGAGCCCTTCACTGCCTGGTGAGTACAACCATCCATATCATAACCTGATAGCCCTTCACTGCCTGGTGAGTACAGCCGTCCATATCATATCCTGAGAGCCCTTCACTGCCTGGTGAGTACAACCGTCCATATCATATCCTGATAGCCCTTCACTGCCTGGTGAGTACAGCCGTCCATATCATATCCTGAGAGCCCTTCACTGCCTGGTGAGTACAACCGTCCATATCATATCCTGAGAGCCCTTCACTGCCTGGTGGGTACGGCCGTCCATATCATATCCTGAGAGCCCTTCACTGCCTGGTGGGTAAACTAATCCATACCCTTAATTTTGAATGGCACTTCAGCTCACTAGGGCAATGTATCTTTAACGCACATGCATTGCAGCACACCACAAAGCACAGCACATCACTACTGTGCCAATACTGGTGCACATTGCACATTTGGTGTGTTCTAGCCTATTCATTTGCATGAACGTAACACACCAGGAGGGGGAGGGGTTAAGGTACTTATACTGCTTGTATTTCAAAATACAGTTAATGATGTAATATTGAATGTAGAGCTGATTTAATATTTGTCTTTTTAATATCTGCCTGGAGTTCAGCTTCAACCTGTACATGAATCTCTATAATATCAATATGCAGCACTAATACAAATGTGTGTTATAATCAATGATGACCAATGTGATAGTAAAAGAGAAAGGAAACATCATAAAAAAGAAATAAAGAATAGTGAATACTCCAATGAAGAAATAAAATATACGGTATAACAAATGAAAATAAATAATTTCTCTAAATATCATGATAGTCCCAAAAATAGGTGATCAAATCAACAAAATGTAGTGACTTCTGTGACTTCCGCACCGCACCTCCACCATAAGGCACTCACCAGAAGTAAGTAGCAAGCAAGCCCAGAGCGGAATGACACTAAGGGGTGTTCCTGCTTGTTCCTCCTGCCGGTGACCCGGTTGAAGGTGGGATCTCTCCAGAAGCCAGTGATACACCAAATGAACAATCAAAAGTAGAGTAGCCAAGTCTCTATCTCCAGCCCACGGTGAACCAAGGAAAGGGATTCCTCCTAGAGGGCAAGCTCATAGACCGAGCCGGAGACAGTATCATATAGTGTAGTATGTTCTATTAAAAAGATAGCAACCACGTGGAGCATAAAATCATAAATGGATAAAAAGCACTTACAAAGATGGCCGCCGGACCATCACGTGGACACGGCTCTTTTACGATCACGCTGGTCATCATTGATTATAACACACATTTATATTAGCGCTGCACTTTGATATTTTAGTGTTTTGTTTTGGTGGAGACAGAGGGTTTGCCACGTTGTATCAGCTGCTTTGTTCTTTCTTTTTTTTGTCTTGCGCTCACTGTTTATTCTTTGACTTTACATGAATCTGATTGATAAAATCTACTTTTTATGTTTGTGGTGTTGTGTCTTTTATAGATTAAGCATGTTGAAGTGACAGTGATTTTCCTTTTTTGTAGGAAAGACACCAGCCGGTCAGTCTTGGGCAGGACGAGGAACCCCTCTCAGGGTTTGAATGGAGAAATGGCACTGACGGTGTAACAAAGGGAATCTGGATCTGGAGCAAACCCTTCATCCTGGAGAGGAATGAGGAGAAGGTTTGATGGAGACATTATCTGTTAAATTATATAAGCTGATCTATTCTCATGTACAGAGATAGACAAATTGATGGGGGATGCACTTCATTATTGCCTTGTCCTGCCATTGACCAAGCTAGAGTTGAGCAAACAGACAGCAAATTTGGATCCAAACTGTACAAATGGATCATCTCAGGATCACTGCCAATCCATCTGTGACTTTGATCTGTCAGTAGATGTATTGCTTGCCTGCAAAGGTGTAGCGGAGCCCCTCATCCAGGGAAATAATCCTAACAGAGGCAGCGCCAAGAAAACACAGGGCCGGTACTCCTAGAGGTAATGATAGTGAGGCCTACATGTGTTCCAGCACATGGTCGGTACCAGGGGTGGACTGACCATTTGGAAACTCAGGCACTGCCTGAGGGCCCAGGGTCAGTAGGGGGTCCCAAGAGATGCCCCTGGTACCTTTTTCATAGGCTTTTTTGAGTTTGGGCAAGGACACAGGGGCCCTATGATCCCCTATTGCCCAGGGGCTCCATGAGTTGTCAGTCCGCCCCTGGTCGGTACCTATAATATAGGAGCACCAAGGACAAAAAAGTACATGTCCTTCTAAAACTGGTGCTGGGTTGTGGGGCAGAGATGAGCTCTTTTTCCATTTTCCTGGCTCAGAAGATATGTTGCAAGGATCAGACTTTTTGTACGTGTAGTCTGGCCTCTTGTGGATTTAACAGGCAAAACACAGATTAACCGGTGAGAAAAAAAATAAATAAAAACTAGTTCTGTTCAGGTGGACTTGTTCTGCAATGTTTTGAGTTTCTCACTGAGTGTTATGAGCACGCTCAATCATTTTTAACCATGTAGTGATAAGGAAATCAACAACCTCTACTCTGCGGTGAAGGTTCTGGTGTGGAGATCCAACTATTTGGAAGCTCCAATCCTGGTCAGCTGCTATGAAGGAACCACCCCAACATAAACAGTTTACTTACGAGGGGCATTCAAGTCAAACTGGGACTTTTTAATTTTCCAGGTATAAAAAGGGATGCTAGCGAGGTGGTACTACATGCAGTAGTAAGTGGCCAGTGTGTCCTATTACTGATAGGCGGCGCACATGTCACGGGCCAGTCCAGAGACCGTTAATCAAGCTGGCAGACGGCGGTGTTAGTGTTAGCATGGAACAGAGTGTGATGATGAAGTTTCTTGTGAACAAAGGTGTAAAATTTGCAGATATCTACAGAAGACTCCAAGCACAGTACGGGATGAGGCGCTCAGCCGCAGTAAGACATTTGAATGGTGGAAACATTTCAAAGATGGTCATACGTCCATCAGTGATGATCCCAGCCATGGTGGTTCCCAGCCCACAGCAGTCATTCCTGTGAACATTCAGCACATGGAACACCTGATCTTGAATAATCGACGCAGAACCTGTTGTGAAATTGTACAAGAGACAAATCTTTCTGTGGGAACGGTGAACACAATGATGAGGAAGTGAAGGCAGCTGTCCTAGGATGGTTCAGGGGTATTGACAAATCTTTTTATGCCGAAGCTCTCCAGGCATTAGTTAAATGCTGGGATAAGTGTATAAATGTAGCAGGGGAGTATATTGAAAAATAAATGGTTTCCATTCCTTTAAATTTGTTCTTTTATTATATAAACATATATAAAAGTCCCAGTTTGACTTGAATTCCCCTCGTTTTAAGATTTGGTGTAGGTTGTGATGTTGCACCACCTCTCCACCTAATCCAGTCAGAGAACACATTGAGATTCATTGAGAAATTGCGAAGCGTTCTCTGCATTGTCTGAATGGCACCCGACCCAAACCAGTGACCCTCTTTGTTCAGTAAGCAGCAGGGCAGCCGCTCAGCACAGGACCTGGAAGCTAGTGGACATCACCTTTAGTAGTTGTGCCTACCACAGTGATCTTCAGCTTCCATGGAGATCCCACAGGTATGGTATATGCAGAGTTACATTGACCCAAGCTGGACCAATGTAACTATGTAGGAATATCCATACCTGGAATTCAACTTTAGGAATTTGCACAAGAAACTCATCATTACTTACAAGAGACAATACATTCTGTTATCCCAGAACACCTTGTTAGTTTGACTGACCTCCAGACTCCCAAATGCCTAACATTAGAACAAGAAGACTAATTGTCTCTATGTTCCATAACAAGAAATGCGAAGAACGCAGTGAACAAAACAATCTTCTAATAAAATCCGTGCAGCCCCAAAAGTGCCCAGCTGTTCCCAACAGTGCTGCCAATCTGTTCCCAACAGTGCTTCCAATCTGTGCCCATCATTTCCACCAATCTGTGTCCTTCAGTGCCACATATCAGTGCCTCCTCATCAATGCCCATCAGTGCGGCCCCATCAGTTCCACCCCATCAGTGCTGCCTATCACTGCTACCTATCAGTGCAGCCATATCACTGCACATCAGTGATGGAGAAAAATTACCTGTTTGCAAAATTTTATAATAGAAACAGAAATTTTTTTTTTTGTTCAAAATCTTTTTTGTTTATAGTGCAAAAAAAAAACCCAGTGGGGATTAAATACCACCAAAAGAAAGCTCTATTTGTGTGAACAAATGATTAACATTTCATATGGGTACAGTGTTGCATGACCGCACAATTTGTCATTCAAAGCTGAAAATGGACCTGGGCAGGAAGGGGGTAGAAGTGCCCGGTAGGCAAGGGGGTTAAGCAAGTTTGGACATGATATAAAGTATTCTTTCAGTCAAAGTCTGATATAGTCCAAGGAATGTCCATTGAGATCGGTTCATTGCTTTGGTGATCATTTACCTTCCCCTCATAGATGGCGGTATATGTCCTGGACACGGAGGGTTCGCTGGATATTGAAGGTGACCGGGAGACCTGCCTTAAACTTTCTGCACTGTCTATGCTACTCAGCTCATATCTGGTACTGGAATCTAGAATACTTCCATTTTTTATTGAATTCTCTAGTGATGTTATCATGTATTCATCATAAGTTGATAATAATGTGTCAACTTTCATGTTTTCTGCAGATTTTTAATGTCAATGCATGTCTGAAAACCACAGAACTGGATTATCTGGAGGTAGGTGGTCTGTGATATCCCATGTTCTAATCAGTAATATAAGTTGGGTAACTTCAGGGGATAGCCACCGGTCCTCCCTCTATGTGGTTATATTTTCCATATTAGACCAGGTATGTGTCCACACATTCATGCAGAAAAGGCACATTTTATGACACCCACATGAATTTTGCTCAGTGCACAAGCATCCTTCTGGTCATTTGTGGCATTTTGGTGTCCTATTTTGTAACTATTGCTGTGATTCTGGTTAGTACCAAGGACTAGCTACAGAATACTCCAGGAATGACTTTGTGACAAAGGTGAGGGTCCAACCCGGCACCATACACAGCCATGATAATAACTCTCTACAAGGGTTAAACATGCATTGGACTCCATTGCCTGGAAGAGCCTTCATTATTGGTGGGAATAATCCGTACACTCATCCATATAATATACTAATTGTGCAAAAAAGGCAACAAAATGTGAAAAGGTCATGTGCAGTTAACAGCAGATCTGTCAGGTATTTTAGGAGTCACGATATATTCCAAGAACATCACAAAAGCTCACATGGTGCAAACTGAGAAGTATTTCACTAAGCGGCCACCATTTTTGGACACCACCTGTGTTTCGGAGGGTTTGCTCAAAACAATTACCTCTCTTCCTTCTCTCCATTTGTTGTCTGCATCTCACTCCAGCCCTGCTGTAATATTGTAATTCTATGTCTACCTTTGTGGACAAGAATAGACTAGGTTAGCCATGGTGGAAGGGACAACATCCCGATAGGTTGGAGAATCTCATTGATACATCTTGTGGTTTTTTTTTTTTTTTTTTTTTTTTTTTTTGGTCTTTCCAGATGTATCTTCATGTGTCCGAACTGACAGGAGCGTCCTTTTCACTACAATATCTGCAGGTAACTGAAATTATTATTATTGTTGTACAGGATTTATATAGCGCCAACAGTTTGCTCAGCGCTTTACAATATAAGGGAGACAGTACAATTACAATACATTTCAGTACAGAAGGAATAGGAGGGCCTGGCTTGTGGAGCTTACAATCTAAAGGAAGGGGGAGGTGATACAAAAGTGATAGCTGTGGGGGATGATCTGGTGGAAGTGATTCAAGTACAGTTCTTAGGTGGAGGTGGGGTACGCTTCCCTGAAGAAGTGCGTTTTCAAAGATCGCCTAAAGGAAGACGGGGTGGGGGCTGACCTGACATGCTGTGGTAGGGAGTTCCAGAGGATGGTGGAGGCTCTGGAGACGAGCGTGGCAGGAGGTGATGAGGGAGCTAGAGAGGAGGATATCATGGGAGGAGCGGAGTGGGCGATTTGGGCGGTATCTGCGGATGAGGTTGGTGATGTAGCTGGGGGCAGTGTTGTGGATGGCTTTGTAAGCTGTGGTTAGTATTTTGAATTTTATACGTTGGGTTAGTGGAAGCCAGTGAAGGGATTGGCAGAGAGGGGTGGAGGACACTGAGCGGAGGGGCAGCAGTCGCTGATTGGTTGGTAAGGTGTACGAGTCTAGCAGCAGCATTCATAATAGACTGAACGGGGATAGCCTGTGTAACGGTAGACCAGTGAGGAGGGAGTTGCAGTAATCGAGGCGGGATATAACCAAGGCATGGATAAGTTGTTTTGTGGTGTCATTGGTCAGGAAGGGGCGGATTTTGAAATGTTCCGGAGGTTGAGGCGGCAGGATTCAGCCAGTGAGTGGACGTGGGCCCCAAACTTGAGGTCAGAGCCTAGGATTACGCCTAGCACTCTGGCATGAGGAGAAGGACCAATGGTTGTGCTGTTGATCTTAATGGTAAAGTCATGAGTGGGGGATCGGGGGGGAGGAAATATTACAGCTCAGTTTTTGAAAGATTGTGTTTAAGGTAGTGATGTGACATCCATACTGATATGTCGCTCAGTAGATTTATGATACGTGAGGGGGTGAGCTGGGGAGTAGTTTATTAACTTACAGAGTTCCTTTTCTAAGGTACTAAACTTTCTCAAACATCATGTATCCATACTCTTCTGTCATCTAACTACAGACACTAGACAGCTAGTGGAAAGGGTTGTGTGATGTGATGAACAGCTTCCATTGTTTCATTGCTGAGTTCAGAGCTATGATGGTTGTGATGATAGTGAGGTCTGATGCCCCCCCAAGACTGTGTAAAAGAGTCATTTACACAAATAACCTCATGATAGGCAGCCATATAAGGTGACACATTTGAGGGAACAAAGTCTACTTTTGAATAAATGCAGATCATCATAAACCTTACTTAGCCAGGGTCTTAAGAGGACCTCTGATGAGGTCCTGTCATAAATACCCAATTTATAAACAATTGGGTGTGCAACCTAAGGAAAACACATCTTTTGCATCTGGAATAATGACCAAGAGCTGAACCCTTATATATCTCAACCCCTGTCAGGACCTGGATCACCTGCTGGTGTCACTGTGGTTCCCTGGGTGAAAGGTTGTAGTTCCAGGGTTCACCGGCGGGTGTCTCTCAGCAGTCCCCAGGAATCAGTCTTCACCTGGTGCTGGCTGCTGGAAGGGTATTTAGTTCCTCCTCTACTAGTGCCTTTCAAGTCAGTGCTTTGCCTACCAGTCAGATGCATGCTTGCTGTTAAATCCTGAGCCTGCTCCTGCCTTGCACCTCTATCTTTCTCCGGTGTTGTATCCTGTTCCCCTTGCTCCAGATTCCAATCCTGGTGCCCCCCTTATTTGCATCTCTAGTATTTCCTGTGATCCATGTTCCTCGTTTTGTATATAATGAATATGCTGTATTATAGTTTGGTGGTTGTTGTTGTTGTTATGTTTATTGTTCAGTTGTATCTTAATATTTGCTGTGTTTTCTGTTTTCTGGTGTTTGGATGGATTTTGGTTTCACTGTAAATACAACACAGTCTCCTCTCAGTCTCCTAATTGTAGCCATGCAGATCTGGGCATCCCTGCTGCTGATTCCTGACAACCCCTCAACTTTAAACCATATTCTGTAGAAATATAAAACACTTTGTCTCTCTGGAGAAGTTATTGTCATGTGTCCTTTACTTTTTTTCAGCACTTGGATGTTCTGGTGAGAGACTGGCAGGATCCTAACCATTGTGGCCGTGAAGCTGCTCGTACCTACCTACGGCACGAGAGTGAGGTATGATGGTAAATGCGAGGAAGGCTCAGAAAATAGGAATTGTTTTCTACAATCATCACCAGAAAATTAAATCCTATTGCTCAACCACTTTATAGCCACCCCATAGCAGAATTACTGCTACAGGGTGGCAGCAGTGTGCAAAATCACATGTATATATACAAGATTTTGCATTTCCGGATAGGGGGCACGCTCCCCCCTACCCGTGCCGTGATTACTCGCCGGCGCCCGGTGATTGCCGAGGATCTCCAATGGGGGGGGGTGGAGAACTGTTAGTAAACAAAACAGTTCTCTCCCATCAGCTCCTGCACACTGCTTTGCATGGCTCTGCACAGCACAGCCATGCAAAGCAGCGTGCTTACAGTGAAGCGTACAGTCACTGCCCCTAGTAAAACAGCACACTGTTAACCCTTTGATTGCCCCACATTTTAGCCCCTTGCTACCCAGTGCCATTAGTACGGTGTCAGTGCTTTTTATTAGCACTGATCACTGTATTGGTGTCACTGGGGATGCCAGTGACACCAAGTCAGTTCCCCCCCAGTGTCAGATGCCCGCCGCAGTCCTGGAGACCTGCTATAAGTTGCTGCTCACCACCATTACTAGTAAAAAAAAAATTTTTTAAATCCCAGTATATATACCGCCATTTTTAGATGCTATAACATTCACGTAAAACCAATTAATTTACGTGTATTCAGATTTTTCTTTTTTAGCAAAGACACGGATTTTGGCCAAAATTTATGATGAAATTTGATTTTTTTGATTTTGTTTTTTTTTTACTGGACATGTTTAATAGGAAAAAGTCAAAAATATTTTTTTTTTTTTTCAAAATTGTCGCTTTATTATTTTTTCTTATAGCGCAAAAAATAAAAAACGCAGAAGCAATCAAATATCACCAAAAGAAAGCTCAATTTGTGGGGAAAAAGCTCTATTCCTGGGAAAAAGAGGACATAAATTTCATTTGGCTGCAGCGTTGCATGACCGCACAATTACCAGTTAAAGTAATGCAGCGCCGTATTGCAAAAAATGGCCTGGTCAGGAAGGGGGGAAATCCTCTGGAGGACAGGGGGGTAAATTTACTTTAGGAGGTTTCTGATGTACGAGATTCTGGCCAAACGTTTGTGGACACCTGACCATCATCCATACATAAGGGACATCCCATAGGTACTGTTAGTGCGGCAACATACAAAGACATTTTTAGCTCACAGTGCTCTTCCAACTTTGGCCAACAGTTTGGTGAAGACCCTTTTCTGTTCCAGCCTGACTGTGCCCCTGTATACAAAGCTCCATAGAGACATGGTTGGATGAATTTGGTGTGGAGAACCTCAAGTAGCCTCTACAGAGCCCAGACCTCAACCCTACTGAACACCATGAACTATAACCTCGATTGCAAGCCAAGTCTTCTTGTCCAACATCAACACCTGACCTCACAAATGTGAATTTAGAACAAATTCCCACAGACACCCTCCAAAACCTTGTAGAAATCCCTTCCAGTGGAGTGGCCACAAGGGAGGATCAACTCCATATCAATGGCCATGGTTTCGAATAAGATGCTCAACAAACTGATATTGGCATGGCAGACGTTTATAAACCTTTGGCCATATATTAATTATAATTGTGAGTTTATTTTGTTACAGAAACTGAGGCTGCGGAAAGGTTCTGAATACCGGCGTTTGCTGGACACTCTTAGAAGTCCATCTGTCAGCGGCTTCCTGTTTCCCCCACCCGGGGAAGAGGTTTCTGATGTCAAGTCAGGGATCACTGGCAGGTAATTCAGCCTCCCAGGCACGGTTACGGTGTAGACTGTTTTCACAGACAACAGACGTTTCCTCTCAGGGCTATGAGCTTTGTACAGATGTAGGTGCATAGAGGTACTAAAGTGATTCTAAAGGTTAAAGAAAAAAAATAACAACACACATGTTCTACTTACCTGCTCTGTGTAATGTTAATGATGTTTTGCACAAAGCAGCCCCCATTCTCATATTTGTGGGTCCCCACTGGAAGTCCCCCCCCCCCCCCAAGTGCCCCCAAAAGCAAGACTCGTGCTATGGGGTTACTCGAGCAGGCTCACTCCTGAGCTGTGCTCCTGTGAATAGCCCCGCCCCCGATCTCTCCTCCTTGGCTCACTAGCTGTGATTGACAGCAGCAGGAGCCAATAGCTGTGTGAGCCAATAAGGAGAGAGAGTCCTGAGACAGCCAAGACTCCCATGCACATAGCTAGATCCAGATAGGGCTCAGGCAAGTATAAGGGGAGGCTGAGGGGGGTGCTGCACCCAGAAGGTTTTTTACCTTCGGGCATAGAATGTATGAAGGTAGAAAACCTTCTGCCCTTAGAACCACTTTAATGTAACGTGCGTGTTTCTCTGCACGGACTATTTCACTTATCTCTGATGAAAGTTAAGCTACTACAGCAGCTAATCTAACAATATAGATCAGGGGTCTCCAAACTTTCAAAACAAAGGGCCAGTTTAGTGCGCTTTAAACTGCAGGGGGGCCGACTGTGGCCAAAGGGAGTATAAAAAATGCCTTGGTATCAACGTAAAAAAAAAGCAAAATCACCTTGACGCTAACCTGGGAGTGATCAATGCCATAGGCTTGTTGTTCAGTGGGGAGGAACAGTGCCCCATCATTGGTGTCAGTGGGAAGAATAGTGCCCCATCATTGGTGTCACTGGGAGGAATAGTGCCCCATCATTGGTGTCAGTGGGAAGAATAGTCCCCATCATTGGTGTCAGTGGGAAGAATAGTCCCCATCATTGGTGTCAGTGGGAAGAATAGTCCCCATCATTGGTGTCAGTGGGAAGAATAGTCCTTATCAATGGTGTCAGTGGGAAGAATAGTCCCCATCGTTTCTATCAGTGGGAGGAATAGTGCCACATCGTTGGTGTCAGTGGGAGGAATGGTGCCCCATCATTGGTATCAGTGGGAGGAACAGTGCCCTATCATTGGTGTCAGTGGGAGGAATAGTGCCCCATCATTGGTATCAGTGAGAGGAATAGTGCCCCATCATTGGTGTCAGTGGGAAGAATAGTCCCCATCATTGGTGTCAGTGGGAAGAATAGTCCCCATCGTTTCTATCAGTGGAATGTGGGAGGAATAGTGCCCCAAGGGCTGAAAAAGGCAAGAAGAGGACCACATCCAGCCCACAGGCAGCAGTTTGAAGACCCCTGATATAGATATACATATATGCATAAAGGAAACCTAAAATATAAAAAGTGCTCTACAAGTATATCACCAACAAGTGAATCATCTGAAAGATCCCTCTGAAACGTTATGAATAATAATGTGAATCTCCATATGTGATCCATAATTACAGAATAATAGAATGTAACACTCTTCCTAAAACTTACATTTATATAAACATAAAAATCAGAACAAAGGGAATACCTTACATTACAATGTAGTATGATGGGCCCCTCGTGGTGATTCTTCTCCTTTTAGCAGAAATCTTCACTTGTCCTACCCTCCCTCTATCTCCTGTCTGATCAATGTTTATAAACAATGTTACTATGGGGGGGAGTTACTGAAACTGGAGAGCACAGATTCTGGTGCAGCTCTGCATAGAAACCAATAAGCGTCCAGGTTTTATTGTCCGAGCTGAATTGAACAAGCTGAAGTTAGAAGCTGATTGGCTCCCATACATGGCTGCACCAGATTCTGAGTGCTCCAGTTTTAGTAAATCTCCCCCTTTTTGTATCTTCATCATCCATCTGAACATCATTTTCAAACAATGCTACTTTGCATCTCTTTATTTCCCATCTGAACAAATGTTTTATAAACAATGAAAATTATTACTTTTTATCTATCTGCCTTTGAATAATGTTTATAAGCAATGTTACTTTGTATCTCTCTATCTCCCATCTGATCAATGCTTATAAACAATGGTAATGTGTAGCTCTCTATCTTCTGTCTGATCAATGTTTGTAAACAATGTTACTTTGTATCTCTCTATCTCCCATCTGATCAATGCTTATAAACAATGGTAATTTGTATATATCTACCTCCTGGCTGATCAATGGTTATAAAAAATGTTACTTTGTAGCTCTCTATCTTCTGTCTGATCAATGTTTGTAAACAATGTTACTTTGTATCTCTCTATCTCCTGTCTGATCAATGATTGTAAACAATGTTACTTTGTATCTCTCTATCTCCTGTCTGATCAATGATTGTAAACAATGTTACTTTGTATCTCTCTATCTCCTGTCTGATCAATGTTTGTAAATAATGTTACTTTGTATCTCTATCTCCTTTCTGATCAATGTTTGTAAACATTGATACTTTGTATCTCTCTATCGCCCGTCTAATCAATGTTTATAAACAATGTTACTATGTATTTCTCTATCTTCTGTCTGATCATGTTTATAAACAATGTTACTTTGTGTTTATCTTCTATCTGAATTATGTTTTATAAACACTGTGCCAGGCAGTTTGTTCTTTTTTACAGTAGCTGCTGTATTTACACAGCAAACTACCACTGCCATTTTAACAGTTAGGAATTGCTGGCAAGTGCTGGAGGTGGGGGGGGGGGGGGTTGTAATACACATGTCTGGTGTACCTCGATAAAGTTTCTTGGGTGTGTAGACCAGTGTCCACAACTGATTAAACAACAGTCTGTAGATATCCATAAATATCTGTCTAGCCATTAGCTCCTTCATTGTCTTGTGATCTCATTCACTGTTGTGTTTCCCGAAACTGGAAGATCGCTCTCCTTTCTTACATAACTTCCATCACAGAACGGTTGTAGCACTCAATGACTCTAATAAGGCTCCAGTTTGGTAGGAAACCCTCCCAATGTATTATGGACAATAGACCTCCCAACAAAGTGTTACTAGATCAACTCAAATGTAAGACAAGTCCCCTCCTCCTAGTACACCCTTTTTTTTTTCTTTATTTATTTATCAAATGGCAGCTTTGAGCTAAGTGCATGGCCTGTGTGCTCCAACCATCCATCTCTTCACACTCCATCTGGTACATGCAATGGCTCCATCTGGTACATTTCTTTGCTGGGATTTTGGTGTGTATTGGAGCCTTCTACAAAATCCTCTGCTGACATCACGTGTATTTCCATCCAATCAGAGTGCTTCTGTATTCACAGACATGGATGAAGATTTCAGAGATCACCTCACAAGGTACATCTCCGAACTTATGGCAGGAATTTGGCTCCACCAGAAAACCGATATCAGCGAAAAGAAGATCACCTGCGACCATGTGGGGAGAGCGCTGAAGGTCAGTCCATTGCAGAGACCTCTGGTCATACTATTGGAACATAGAAACCAGTGCATGGGGAAAGTATGATGATCCATAGCAATCAATCAGAATTACTGATGTCAAACTGCTGCAAGATGGAATCTGATTGGTTGCTGATCAGAAGTATACAAGTCTAAGTCTTACAGCTTCTACTACGGCTCAGGTGGAGGTTCTAGAGAAGATAAAGTATTTCCAACTCTCTAGCTCAGTCACCTAAACCTAATCACCATGTAATGTGTCAAGGCAGATGTTGATTGTCCAAGAACATAATGGGAGGTGGTGAAAAGTTCGTGAGAACTCCCTGCTGTATTGTCATCCAGTCCTGTACCATGATGTATAGGACACATGTTAACTCCGACTCCAGGCAAATGGTGCATTGTGCATCAATTGCCGTACTCCTCAGTAATGATTCCAGGCACCTTTTCCTAAGCCATCCTGCAGTGTAATGGGTCAGAATCACAGTTTCCTCTATGAGCCAAGCTAATGTCCTGCTCAGGAGACTAGACCTTTTCCCCACTCATTATCTCCTTTGGTACCGGTCCCCTCACCGCCCCTTGAGCCACTGGAAGTGTCGCCACCACCAATAGGAGGTGTCCACATCACACAGGCAGTGATAGAAATATCTGAAGAAGAACCCCAGGAAGGAAATAGAAGAGGGAAGGATCGGGATGGAGGCTTCACATGACTGCAGCTTCAGGTAAGTAAAATGGGCAATTGGATAGTATTAGATTTATTTATTTATTTATATATTCTATATCAATGGTTAGTTAGAGGGGGTTTGGAAGGAGGGGTTGCTAATATCTTGGAGTTGGGCTTCATCTGTTCTATTTACATTTATTGCAGTAAAATGGGCATTTGGATAGGTTTTTTGTTTTTTTTTTTAATATCGGTGGTAGGTAAACGTGGGGTTGGAGGGAGGGGTTGCTAATATCCTGGATTTGGGTTTTAACTGTTCCAAATAGATTTGTTGCAGTGCCCCCCTGTTGTCTTTAGTAACAATATTATAATATAATGTATACAAAAAATACAATCTTTTACTGGGTTGCGCTTTTAAAGTAGAATTCTGGTTGCTCCCGCCACCCCCCCACACCCCTTCCCAGCTGTCTTGTATTATAACAAAAAAAATGTACCCTATTTTTTGCTCCATAAGACGCACTTTTTTTCCCCCAAAAAAGGGGAGAAAATGTCAGTGCGTCTTATGGAGCGAATATAGAGCGGCCGGTCCGGTATTTCCACCGCCGCCGTGTCAGAATACCGGGCCGGCCGCTCAGCTATGCAGTGGGACCTTACCTGTTCCTCTATCCAGCGGCGCGCTGTCTTCCCGGCTTCTGTAGTGTGCGTGACAGCCGGGTCCCAAGTGCGCATGCGCAAGAAGCGGTGCTCTTTCTGAATGGTAAGGAGGTACCTGGGACACATGACAGATCCCAGAAGCCGCCGGACCAATCACAAAACGCAGCGCTTCTCGCGCATGCGCACTGGGCATCCGGCTGTCCGCCGAGCGCCCACACTACAGAAGCCGGGAAGACAGCGCGCCGCTGGATAGAGGAACAGGTAAGATCAAAGAAAAACTGCGGAAGTAAGAGCGGGTACCTGTCAAATTCAGGTACCCGCTCCCCCTCCCTCCCCAAAGGTCAGCAGTCATCTCCTGTACTGTCCACAGGGTCATCCCTGTGCTGTCCGCAGTCACTGGTCATCCCTGTGCTGTCCGCAGTCTCTGGTCATCCCTGTGCTGTCCGCAATCTCTGGTCATCCCTGTACTGTGTCCGCAGTCTCTGGTCATCCCTGTGCTGTCCGCAGTCACTGGTCATCCCCGTGCTGTCCTCAGTCTCTGGTCATCCCTGTGCTGTCCGCAATCTCTGGTCATCCCTGTGCTGTCCGCAATCTCTGGTCATCCCCGTGCTGTCCGCAGTCTCTGGTCATCCCCGTGCTGTCCGCAGTCTCTGGTCATCCCCGTGCTGTCCGCAGTCTCTGGTCATCCCCGTGCTGTCCGCAGTCTCTGGTCATCCCCTGTACTGTGTCCGCAGTCTCTGGTCATCCCCGTGCTGTCCGCAGTCTCTGGTCATCTCCTCTACTATGTCTGCAGTCCATTAGTTCAGAATTTTTTTTCCCCTGTTTTCTGCCTCTAAAACCTAGGTGCGTCTTATGGAGCGAAAAATACGGTACTTACCTTTTTCCTATGTTATTGGAACTGCTCCAGTGATGTTTTTTCATTCTTCCAGGACTGAGGCTCAGACTTGGGAGTATTATGATTATATATATATATATATATATTATTTATTTCAGGTACTTATATAGCTCCATCAATTTACGCAGTGCTTTACATACATATTTGTACATTCACATCAGTCCCTAACCCTCAAGGGGCGTACAATCTAAGGTCCATAACTCACATTCATACATATATACTAGGGACAATTTAGACAGGAGCCAATTAACCTCCCAGCATGTCTTTGGAGGTGGGAGGAAACCAGAGTACCCGGAGGAAACCCACGCAGGCACAGGGAGAACATGCAAACTCCAGGCAGGAGGTGCCGTGGCTTGGATATGGAGATATATATATATATATATATATATATATATATATATATTTTTTTTTATTTTTTATTTTTTTATTTCAGGTACTTATATAGCGCTGTTAATTTATGCAGCGCTTTACATATATATTGTACATTCCCATCAGTCCCTAACCCTCAAGGGGCGTCCAATCTAAGGTCCCTAACTCACATTCAGACATACACATACTAGGGCCAATTTAGACAGGAGCCAATTCACCTACCAGCATGTCTTTCGAGTGTAGGAGGAAACTGGAGTACCTGGAGCAAACCCACACAAGCACAGGGAGAACATGCAAACTCCAGGCAGATGGTACCATGGTTGGGATTCGAACCAACAACCCTAGTACTGCTTGGTGGAAGTGCTAATCACTTAGCCACTGTGTTGCCTAGATTATAGATTGCATGATGACATGCCCCCTAGGGGAGAGCATGTAAAAGACAGGCTGGGCTCACAGGATATAGGCAGAGTGTCATAAAAGGGACCGCGGGGGCTGGACCGTGGAGGAAACGGTGTATAGAAGCTGAGGCTTGGCACTATTTATTCATATGGGGTTGGGGAGACTTGAAATGTGATAAATGTGAAGTTCCAGTTTTAGACAATGACACAATATCTTATTTTCTAGGAATTTGTTATCATGTTACAGAGGAGACCGTACAGCTTTACTTCCCCTTTGCAGGTAATTATTACATCACATTAGAACTGTATATATAATGGAATAATGGACGCTCCTAATGACCTGTCTGTAACATATTATTTGTGCTATTTTAACTTCTAATGGGCTATTGATTGATTTTAGTGAGCTTTTATTTGGGTTGGAGTTCTGCTTTATTCAACTCCATTGTATCCAACTCTCTCAACAGATGTTTTATTCACTCGAAAACCGGAAACACATGAACAGTATCTTAAAGAGCTTTCAGGATTTCTTGGACCAGCAGGTAACAATACAGAGACCCCCTCATTACCTAACACTCCTGTGTGTCTTTTTAGGAAATTTCAAAATTTACATGGAGCTTAGAATTTATTAAAATAACAGCATCTGAGCTGCATTCCTGATGATCAAAACTGCCTTTAAAATAAATTCTGAAGTAAAAATTTAAAAAAAGTTATTGACCGTAAAATGTAAAGTAGATGTGAACCAAATCACTAAAATTCATTTCAGAAATTGTTTGAAAACTCATTTTTAATCCCTTCCCAAACTGCCTGGAAGACCTTTCCGCCCTCTTGGCATAATAGCCCAGTTGAAGGGACACGGTCAGGGCTTGATGGGAAGGGATTAAAAATTAGTTTTTTAAACAATTTCTGAAACTAATTACATGATCACTGTGATTGGCTGTCACAGTGGTCACATGATCAGGAGCCAGTCCTCCTGACATCACAGATGGGCAGGGGTGGACTGACAACTCATGGGGCCCCCGGACAATAGGGGATCATGGGGCCCCTGTGTCCTTGCCCAAACTCAAAAAAGCCTATGAAAAAGGTACCAGGGCCATCTCATGGGGCCCCCCTACTGACCCTGGGCCCCCGGGCAGTGCCCGAGTTTCCAAATGGTCAGTCCACCCCTGCAGATGGGGAGAACCAATGTCCATTCCTCTTATGCAGGCCATAGACGGGTCTATTATCGGCTGAATTTTCGTCCGCACCAAAAATCAGCCGATATTCACGCCGTTAGCGGGGCCAGCCCATTGGCCATTTTTTGCGGATCTTCTCATTTATTTTTATCGGTCATGCTGGAAAATCCACAAAAAGTCTGTTTTTCGTGGACATTGTTGGCAGCATCGGCAACGAGGCTGACCGGTTTTTCACTTAACGGCCCACAATTCGGCCAATAAACGGCCCATCTATGGCCTGCCTTACTCTGTGCAGTGCTGCTGGCTGGACCAGTCCAGGGTTCCCTGGTGGGATGGGCGATCCCAGGAAGGGCAGCGCAGTGGTGGAAGGGGGGAACCCCACTTATGTCACCAGGGAAAGTGACTATATAGTGACTCTGATCACGTTTACAAGATAGGGAATTGCCTTCTGAAAAATGGTAGCCTCAACCATGATCATTGTATAACTACCTCAATACGAGTTCGTGTATATATACAGTGGATATAAAAAGTCTACACACCCCTGTTAAAATGTCAGGTTTCTATGATTTAAAAAAATTAGACAAAGATAAATAATTTCAGAACTTTTTCCACCTTTTTAATATGATTATAAATTGTACAATTCAACTCAAAAACAAATCTTTTAGGGGGGAAGTAAACATAAAAAACTAAAATAATGTGGTTGCATAAGTGTGCCACCCTCTTGTGACTGGGGATGTAGCTGTGTTCAGAATGAAGTAATCCCATTCAATGCCATGTTAAATAGGAGTCAGTACACACCTGCTATCATTTAAAGTTCCTCTGATTACCCCAAATAAAGTTCAGCTGTTCTAGTCGATCTTTCCTGACATTTACTTAGTGGCATCCTACAGCAAAAGCTGTGGTGTGCAGAGAGCTTCCAAAGCATCAGAGGGATCCCATTGTTAAAAGGTATCAATCAGGAGAAGGGTACAAAAGAATTTCCAAGGCATTAGATATACCATGGAACACAGTGAAGACAGTCATCATCAAGTGGAGAAAATATGGCGCAACAGTGACGTCACCAAGAACTGGATGTCCCTCCAAAATGGATGAAAAGACGAGAAGAAAACTGGTCTGGGAGGCGGCCAAGAGACCTACAGCAACATTAAGGAGCTGCAGGGAAGAGTGCACATGCATGGGTGGCCTGGAGCGGATGTCCTGCCGACCGCTCCGCATAATCCTGGCGCTTAAGGGGTAAATGTGAGCGGCCCCAGGTCACCTGCACCCAAAGCACATGTCCGAGAACCTGGCTGAGACGGTGGGGGCTCTCTCCCATGCCCACCCGACCGGCCGGAAAGTCTGCGGGTGGATTCTATAACACATTTAAAGGAGCGGGCAGGGGTGGCAAGATGGCTCCCGGCTCCAAGGCCTCAACTGCTGCTGCAACAGGATCGGCGCTCGCAGGGGACTGAATCTTCTCCATCTGACCCTGGATGCCAGGATGACACCTCCTCTGCAGCCATGGCTCATGTGAGTAATTCGTCTGCACCTCCTGGCTCTATTTATAGTCCTCCCAGGTCTCCCTCAGAGGCTGCAAGCCTCTCTCTAGGCCATGATTCCCAAACTTCCTCCCTACTAGACAGGGAGATGGCGGAGATTTTCATTAGTCAAACAGGCAGCCAAGATTCCGCACATAAAGGTCCAGAGCCTCTGCTGCACCTCTACGTTTTTCTGGGGATTCCATACTTATTGCACATTTTACTGATTTATTGCAGCAGGAATCGGATAAAGCTACCACTAAATTGGCCTCCAACCTGAAACAGGATTTTTGGGAATTGGGTGATCGCCTCGAGAAAATTGAATCTAAAGTTGATGATACAGTCCACAAAGTGTCTCAAAATTCTAGCATGATTGCCAACTTACAGGACCGCTTAGACGAGGCTTACAATAAAATAGATGATCTTGAAAATCGTGCCAGGCGGGGTAATTTCAGAATTAGAGGTCACCCTGAAACAGTAAAAGATATTGAACCCATTGTTCCCTCCCTCATCCATGCAGCGGTTCCGACAATTGATGATATTCATTTGGAAATAGATGGAATCCACAGGGGCTTGGTCCCTTTGTGGCCGGACGGCCCTCCTCGGGAAATAATAGCAAAGCCTCATTTTTTTTAGGGTCAAAGTCAGTAATGCGTTATGCTAGGTAACATCCAGATCTCGAAGTTGATGGATACCAGATTCAAGTCTTCGCTGACATCTCCCAAGCTACCATCTAAAAGAGAAGGGCCTTTAAAACGGTACTCTCGACGTGGATCCTGAGGGATATTCACGATCGATGGAACTATCCGTTTCATCTGCAATCTCTTTATAATGGCAAATCCTACTCCTTCTCTACATTCTCTGAGGGGGAAAGACTTCTGTTGAATTTTGGCTTTATCTCTTAGTCCCTCCTCCCGGAACCTGCCTAAAACTAATGGACCCCCCCCCCCCCCCCCCCCCTTGCTGTCACCTCTGTGGTCTCCAGCCTCCATTAAGAAAGCCGCTGCTGCAACACCACACCGGGTGCCTTGAAGGTTTGGTTTATTAATGTTTGTTAACTTCTAATGGAGGTCTCTCTGTGGCCCCTCTGTGGGGGCATTGGCCTCTGTGTGCACAAACTGGTTTATGATTCTGGTTTATGTATTTTGGAAAAATACCCGGGTGGCTTTAAAAGTTTTACGGATGTTACATGTGGACCCCGGGGTGCCGGAGGAAGTCTATGCACACTTCCTATGTAAAAGACTCTCCCCATTGTTTGACTTTGTGGAGACTCTTTCGGTCCTTGACCTAGTGTCTAGGATATTGGTATTTTGTTATCTTACACCACATATTGCTAATCAATCTTTTCTCTTTTTTCCTTTTTCCTAACTTTTTTTCCATTTCTTGTCTGAGGGTCACCCTGGGAATTTTGTCCTGCCTTGGGATACTTGATACTCTATATGGATGGGTGGGTTTGTCTGATAGTGACCTCGCCATTTGCTTCCCATGCTCCGATTGCTCTCTCATAATGTCCAAGGGTTGGGCTCCCTTTGTAAACGACTCAAAATATTCTCCCATTATAAGTCTCCCGGGAGCCGATATAGTGGCCTTACAGGAAACACATTTTGCCCCTTCATTTACTCCCAGATATATTCATAGTAATTTTCCGACTTTTTTTTCGCTAATGCCTCCAAAAAAAAGAGGGATGGCGTTCTGCTTTTCTGAACAACTATCATTTACTGAAACTAAAGTTTTAAGGGATAGAGAGGGACGATACCTCCTGGTGAAGGGTCATTTAGGGGGTAATATGGTGTCTTTTCTTATTTACTATGCCCCCAATACTAACCAGGTGGCCTTTTTCCATTCTCTTTTCAAGTCTCTGTTTAAAGAACTAGAGGGGGATGTGATCTTGGCAGGGGACTAAAAGCTGGCTTTAGACCATATACCCGATAAATCCCATGTAATTAAACTTAAATTGCCTTCTAAACAAAGCACGATTTTGCGCGGCTTTTATATCACTATGACCTCATTGACGCATGGAGGGAGGCCAATTCCCACTTTTCAAGGGTTCATAGTCATTATTCACGTATAGACCATGTTTTCCTCCCCTCGGACAATGGGCAGCCCATAAAGCCTCCATTTGAGGTTTTTTTTTTTTATCCAGCCATCCTCCAGAATTAAAAAATCCAATGAAAAGTTGATTTCTACCAAATCTAGAGCGTATGCATTGTTGGCTGAGCATAACATAAAATTGCCCCGACCTCGGATCTTTTATCTAAGGAGGAACACGCTCGGCTGGAGCTTAACCTTTTTCCTCACCACAAAGGCAGAAAAACAACTGCACTGGATGACTTTGAAAGGTTCTAAATGGCTTCAATACTGGTGTACATTGTCAGGGAAGAAGGAGCAAACCCTCTTGTAGGTATCCATACTCCATCTTGGTTTGGGAAGATTTGCTCATTCTAAAGATCCTCTCTCCCTTTCCTCTACATTGCTGTAGGAGTGGGTACGAGTTCAAGACGGGGTGATGTCTGAGTGTCAGGGGTACCAGTGCATAAACAGGATGTTTTGGAAGGTTCATTGGGTATAAGTTTTGCTTTCAAACACTTAAGCCAGAGAGACTGATGACAGACCAGAGTCAAACATAACATAGTGATGAGGGTTTAGGCTTGGAGCTTTTTTTTTTAAACAATGTGAACAATATGGACGTGCAATTAAGAGATATAATGGTGGGTGAGGAAATAGGAACATATAGAGAGTTGGAAAAAAAAAAGGGGGAGGTTTTCAGTAGAATGGATGAGATTCGATATTATCAACTGAAACATTTCTTTGGGAGTCTCCCAAAACCTGTGAGAACTAGAAAGGAGTGGAATTTATTTGAAAGATTACTGGAAACACGGGGAGATGGGAGACACGGGTTGCAAAAATATATAGAATATTAACGGAATTAGACACGGGCACAAAATTAATTTTTGTAGAGAAATGGGAAAAACATATGGGAAGGGAAATAGATGAGGAGCAGCAGAGGAAAATGTTTAGATTAATACATGAAAATTTTAGCATGCGGGAAGTAGAATTGAATTACAAGTGTTTAGTTAGATGGCACATTACACCGAATGTGGAACACAAATTGAATGGGGAGATTTCACCACTGTGTTGGAGAGGGTGTGGAGAAATGGGTACGACATATCACATATGGTGGGAGTGTTCAAAGATACAGGTGTTTTGGAATAAAATTATTTATTTAGTAAGGAAAATTACTGAGATCGACATTAAATTGGATCCAGAGATATGTCTTCTCCATATCACCGAACTTTCAGTGAGGTCATACAAGGACTCAGGGATTTGGTATTTCCTAAGCGCAGCAAAGAGTTTGATACCTAGGTTCTGGAAACAAAGGGAGGTGCCAACAGAGGAGGATTGTATGGACAGAATGAATCAGATCCATGGGTTGGAAAGATTGTATTATATGCATATAGATAAGATGGAGAAGTATTATAAGAAGTGGAAAAAATAGGAAGAGTATAGAGAAAAAGTGAAATATATGATGATGATTTATACCCCTTGAAACAGAGATGGATTTTAGAAATTGTTTTTTTGGGGGTTTTTTTTGGATTAGAAGAGAAATGCAGAGTGGGATGGGGGGGGGGGGTCGCGAGGGTGGGGGGTAGGGAGGGGATGGGATAGGGGTAGTTGGAGATATGGGAAATAGATAAACTAAGTCAGTAGTAAGATACTGATTTTATGTTTTTGTTTCCTTTTGTTAAAGGAGAAAGTGATTGTGATTTGTACTTGGTTGAAAAATTAATAAATATTTATTAAAAAAAAAAAAAAAATGTGAACAATGTTAGCTGTGAGAATCTGCAGTATCAGCAGAATATTCAGCAAGGGGTCAGGTGTGAGATTCTGAACCATTGTCTGTCTGGCTGCGTTTCAGGAGTAAGTACAGTTGGGGGCCAGTTATACCAATTTGCAGCATGGTCCTGTTGCAATGCAGAAGAAATCCAGCAGGGGTCAGGTGTGAGTCTGTCACGGTGCAGAAGTATGTCCAGCAGGGATCACATGTGAGAACCTGAAGCATGATCCTGCCACAGTGCTGAAGAAAGTCCAGCAGGGATCAAGTGGGAGAATCTGTAGCATAGTTCTACTGCAGTGCAGGAGAACATCCAGCAGGGGTCAGGTGTGAGAATCTTCAGTATGGTCATGTTGCAGTGCAGGAGAACATCCAGCAGGGGTCAGGTGTGAGAATCTTCAGTATGGTCATGTTGCAGTGCAGGAGAACATCCAGCAGGGGTCAGGTGTGAGAATCTTCAGTATGGTCATGTTGCAGTGCAGGAGAACATCCAGCAGGGGTCAGGTGTGAAAATCTGCAGTATGCTTCTGCTGCAGTGCAGAAGTACATCCAGCAGGGGTCATGTGTGAGAATCTTCAGCATGGCCTGACTGCTGTTCAGTAGAAGGTCCAGTAGTTGGTCGTCCAGAAAAGGAGAGCGAATTGGCTGTCTGGTTACTTGTTGTAGACAGATTGCTACATTAATAGTAAGTCAGAAGTCCAAAAGTGAAAGGAAGAAGTAAAAGAGAAATTGGACTAGAGACAATGAGAAAAGAGCAGAAGTTTGGGAAGGTGGTAGAGGAAGAGGGAGCGCTCTCCTCTGCTCAAACAAGGTTGGCATCTACGATCTTGTCCTAAGAAGATCCAGTGACTTGATGGATGGAGCCATGTTACTATTACACCACTTATTTCTCCATAGCTCGTGAGAAATTTCTAATACTTTTCTATTAATTGTTAAAAAAAATTATAAAAAGCCCTGAAGATAGGTTGTTGTTTTTTTTTTTTTCCCCCTCGTATTTTAGGAGAAATACTGCTCGAAAGGGTCATGTTAATTCTGCCCTTCATATATTTAAGAAAATATTTCATAAAATAGAATTATAACTAAACTGGCATGTTCCTTCATACTGTAGATCAGCCTTTCTTAACCAGGGGTCCATGGAATCATTGGGGTTTCTCCAGAGTTTGCTATGGGTTCCTTTTTGAGCAATGAGCAGTTTCTGCCTCTCGGATGAGTATCTACTGAAACCAATGATATTATTAGTTATCTTTAAGAGAGAATTCTTCCTACTGACCACAAATGTAAGGAGCAATTATCCAGTGACCATCAAGCTGTAATTGATGTAACGGGATCTGCAGATATAGTTAAACACTAGCAGGGGTCCCCCTTAGGGTTTCCTAAGACCAGTAAATTATTTCAAGGGTTCCGCCATACTAAAATGGTTGAGAGAGGCTGTTCTTGACATCCAAAATTCCAGGTTTTTATGCAGGTGGTATGTAGCACCAAATGTTCTAGTTTCATACTAAGAGGGGCAAGTACAACATTTGAATTAAGTTTCACCATTCCTTTCTCCTACAGCTCCCTGCCAATGCTTCTCCATTCAAAATCCTTGGGGTGAGGACATCTGAGATGAGGACCAGGGTCAGCGAGCAGACCGATGTTCATCTTGATACTTATGAGGGTGTGCTGAGAGGAGATAACGCTGCGGAGAAAGAGATGCTCATGGAGGAGATGAAATCTCTGCTGAAAGAAAAACAAGAAAGTTTCTGCGCTGAATATTCAAAGCGTTTCACCAAATGTGCAATAGGTATTGGCTGTGCCGTAGGAGGAGGAGTCCTGAGCCTGGCCGGTGGGGTTGTAGGGGCAGCAGTGGCTGGAACTGTGCTCGCTGTTGAGGCTGTAGGTTTATTGGGCAGTACGACTGCAGCGGTGGTCACAGGGGCAATCGGAGGCTCCGTCACCCTTGGAGCCATTGGAACTGGTGTTGGAGCGGGCGTTGGTGGTGTTATTGGACATGTGGAAAAGAAAAAAGACACAAAAGCTGAGAGAAGTACAGAGACATCCACAGAAGACACCCAACATCTGGTGGACAAAAAAGACTGACACCATTCCTGGAAATATCTCTGGAATTACCCGGACTGTCCTTACTTATGAGTTGTTTACTATAATGATGGCTCATTCTTTTACCAGATATCTTTATATGTGTTTACTATTGTTAGCGTTATATTTTGGGTAATTCTTTTTTGATTCATTTGAAAATGGATTCAATATTTACATTAAATAGATTGCAATACAATGCATTTTAGAAACCAGACACTGGGCCTGTGCTAATGGGCTTTTCGCATCAGAACTTCTTACTTTACCCCATACAAGTCAACAGGCATGCAGAAACCTTTCATATCAGGTTGACATTGCTTAGAAGGTTAACTGCACCACCTAATGAACTGCAAATGACCTCTGAAGCATCTAAACTCATCTCAAGTACAAGTGAGACCCATCTGAATGCAAAATGCTCAACTTCATAGTCCCACACAGGGGACATCTCTATATACACCAATGTCCCTCAGGTCCATTGAAGGCAAGTGTTGTTCTGCATCTGACTTTATTTTTCCAATAAATTAACCGTTTCTAATTATCTTTTCTGTTTGATTTTTGTCTTTGTAAAATATTTTATTAACTAATCTGTTTGAGGAAAATTATAACATTTTCCAGCTTAATGAATTTGGCAAATAATATAATTTGGAAATGACTTGGGAGGAACAAACAGGTGGAAGAGCTTATAACTAGGGATGAGCTGAGTGTCTGTCACGTGCGCCCACACTGAATATCCTGAACTTGCGTTTGGACCAGTTTCCAGCTCTAAATAGATGCTAAGGAAGCAGTCAGTGCCATGTCCTTACCAATCCCAGATGTTATCCGGACAGGCCAGGTAAGCAAAGGGCTGGAGATGAAGGGGGGGGGGTTACACCATTACCAAATATGGGTACATTTACATGGGGGTGGTATCTGGGTGCCCTTTATTGTTAAAGGGGGTTTCCAGATTCCAATAAGCCCTCCACACACAGACACCCACAACCACCAGGCCAGGGTTGTAGGAAAGAGGCCCTTGTCCACATCAACATGGAGACGAGGTGCTCCCTAACAAGTTGAGGGTATGTAGCCTGGTACGGTTCAAAAGGGGGTGCATGCTCACCATCCCTGCTTTCCTGGCAGCTGTGTGTTTGGATAAGGGTCTGGTATTAATTTTTGGGTGAGACCTCACTTTTGTTTCTTCTTTTTTTTTTTTTTGTTTCCCCCTTAAAATCCAAAACATACCTAAAGGGTCTAGTTTGAAATGAGGGGGGAACCTAAGAGGGAACACCACGCTTTTTGTTTTTATGGGAGCCTCCTATTAACATCTGTCCCAGACCCCCATGTAGGATAACAGTCTGATATGGATAATGGAAGCCTTGACTTTTTGTGTTCCAACAAAACAAAGCATCTGGGAGCTGTCCTATCGGCATCAATTTAATCACTTTGCCTACCTGGCACTTCTCCCCCCTTCCTGCCCAGGTCAATTTTTAGTTTTCAGCACTGTTGCACTTTGAACGACAATTGCGCAGTCTTGCAACCCTGTACCCATATGAAATTTGTATCTTTTTTTAACACAAATAGAGCTTTTTTTTTTGTGGTATTTACTTGCCACTGGGTGTTTATTTTTTGCAATATAAACAACAAAAAAAAATAAATAAAAAAAAAAAAGGTTTTTCTTTGTTTCTATTATAAAATTTAGCAAACAGGTAATTTTTCTCCTTCACTGATGTACATTGATGAGACTGCACTGATAGGCAGCACTGATGGGCACTGATAGGCGGCACTGATGATGCTGCACTGATAGGCAGCAATAATGGGCACTGATGGGGGGCACTGCTAGGCACTGCTAGGCATAGGTGGGTGGGACTGCTGGGCACTGATGATCAGTGCTGATCTCTTTTCTGACAATTGCCGGTTATCGGCAGTATTTCCTCACTCTGTGACAGCGTGAGGAAAGTGCAGCTGATAACTGGCAACTGCATTTACCCGGTTATCTACTGTGTCATTGGACACAGCTGATCATGTGGTAAATGGCTGCTGTGATTGGCCTTTTACCACATCATGTGATCAGCCGTGTCCGTAGGACACAACGATCACAGAGATCGCTGGATGCGCCGCTGAGGGCGTGAGCTAGGGTGTGTTCTGGAGGACGTTATATGTTACCCTCCCAGGACTGGACAGCCGAGCTGTAGCTGTCATTCGGCTATAGTGTGGATGCCAAGTGAGGACCGACTGCCTACAATGTACTGCGGACGGGCGGCAGCTACAGGACCAGAGATGTACCTGTACATTGCTGTGGCTGTACCCCCCCCCCCCCCCCATGGACACTGATGGGCACTATTGGCCGCACTGATGGGGCTACACTGATCACCAGAACACAGATAATCAGTGCTGTGATGATCAGTGTAGATGTTCTCCTGTGAAATGCCCCTCACCGGCTCTCCTCTCCTCATGCTCTGTCAGTGTGAGGAGAGGACTGCCAATAACCATCATTTCCTATTTATCCTGAGATCAGTTGTGATTAGACACAGCTGGTCACATGATAAAAGTGGTTGTGATTGGCCCATTCCTTAGTCATGTGATCAGCTGTGTCAGAAAGACACAGCAATCACAGCTCATGTGCAGGGGGTGCACGGGGGGGGGGGGGGGTCTGGGAAGATGTCCATGGACGCCCTCTCGTAACTAGCCAACTGTGCTGAGGCCATCTTTTGTCTATAGCGCGGTCAGGAACTGGTTAAGCTGGCCACACATTATACAATTTTCTTGTTCAATTTTCTTTAGATTTACCTTTTTCAACTATGTAGTACAAGGACCTGCCAGACTGCATACAAATTGAAAGTGTTTAGGTCTGAACTCATATTATATGTTTTTGGTAAATCTAAAGGGAAATTGTATAATGTATGGCTTGCCTTACAGAGGGAAGAGATAAAAGATCCCATTACCAAAACGATCTACATAAAGGGTCTACAAGCATTATCCTTGGGTGAGATATGGACCTTTGTAGTAGCGTACATTACACATACAGCATGGGCCTGCGGTTTATACACACTTTAATAACAGCTTCCAAGATTTCATTCTAACAATAACAAAGGAGTTACCTCATCTATTTATGGAATAATTCAGGGATGTCTATAATGGAGTTCATCTCATGTGATTCCACATTTGTGGCATACTGTATCTTTTACAATGCCCCCTGTCATCTACAATACACACTCCCTGGCCCCTTTACTAGGTCCACCTGTTCAATTGCTTGGCAACACAAATTACTAATCAGCCAATCACACGGCAGCAACTCAATGCATTTAGGCATCTAGATGTGGTGAAGACAACTTGCTGAAGTTCCAACTGAGCAACAGAATGGGGAAGAAAGGGGATTTAAGTGGCTTTGAACATGGCATGGTTGTTGTTGCCAGATGGGCTGGTCTGACTACTTTAAAAATTGCTGATCTTCTGGGGTTTTCACATATAACCATCTCTAGGGTTCACAGAGAATGGTACGAAAAAGAGAACCTATCCAGTGAGCAGCAGTTGTATGGAGGAAAATGCCTTGTTGATGTCAGAGGAGAATAGGCAGACTAATTCAAGATGATAGAAAGGCAATAGTAACTGAAATAACCCCTCGCTACAACCAAGGTATGCAGAATACCATCTCTAAACTCACAACACGTCCAACCTTGAAGCAGATGGGCTACAGCAGCAGAAGACCACACCGGGTGCCACTCCTGTCAGATAAGAACAGGAAAAGGAGGCTACAATTTGCACAGGATCACCAAATTTGGACAATAGAAGATTGGAAATACGTTGTGTGGTCTGAGGAGTCTGGATTTCAGCTGCAACATTCAGATGGTAGGGTCAAAATTTAGGGTAAGCAACATGAAAGCATGGATCCATCCTGCCTTGTATCCACGGTTCAGGCTGGTGGTGGTGGTGTCATGGTGTGGGGGATCCATCCTGCCTTGTATCAATGGTTCAGGCTGGTGGTGTCATGGTGTGGTGGATCCATCCTGCCTTGTATCCACGGTTCAGGCTGGTGGCGGTGGTGTCATGATGTGGAGGATCCATCCTGCCTTGTATCAGTGGTTCAGGCTGGTGGTGGTGGTGTCATGGTGTGGTGGATCCATCCTGCCTTGTATCAATGGTTCAGGCTGATGGTGGTGTCATGGTGTGGTGGATCCATCCAGCCTTGTATCCACGGTTCAGGCTGGTGGTGGTGGGCTCATGGTGTGGGGGATCCATCCTGCCTTGTATCAATGGTTCAGGCTGATGGTGGTGGTGAATTGGTGTGGGGGAGATTTTCTTGGCATACTTTGGGCCCAATAGCATCATTTAATCTCCATGTCCTTCCTGAGTATTGTTGCTGATCATGTCCATCCCTTTATGACTATGTCAATATGGACCAAAATCTCTGAGGAATGTCTCCAACTCCTTGCTGAATCTGTGCCACGAAGAATGAAGGCAGTTCTGAAGGTAAAAGGGGGTCCAACCCGGGACTAGGAAGGTGGACCTAATCAAGTGTCCAGTGAGTGTATATTGGAAGGACAATGTGGGAATTAAGAAAGTTACTGGCTGAGCACAGCTATGATATTAAAATGTGATTTAAGAATAATTTATCTTTCACTTTAGAATATGGTTTTCTCTCTATTTTGGGGGAATCTAAAGGCTCTGGAGATATTGGAGAGGTTGCAGCTCTGCTGGAGAATTCATAAAAAGAAACCTTCTGATGCATGAAATGAAAAGTTCTTTTACCAGGTAGTCTGGATTTGAATCCCAATTTGAATTACCTATTGAATGAGAGAATATAACTATTGCCAAAGATGGGTGGAATCGCACTGCTGTCCATCCCAGATACCCAGGTACCCTACATGGAAGAAAAATATATTTTAAATATATTTTTAAAATATTATTCACAAATATATTGACATATATTTGAAATACTACAGCTTTGGCCATATTCTATATATATAATATATATATTTCACATTCAGGCGCTCCCTCAAAACCCATCTCTTCAGGGAAGCCTACCCCACCCT